AGCATCTTGGCCAAATTGACCCACGAAGTGACTGTGACACATCAAATATTTTTAGTAGTTGCATTGAGATGTAATCACAGTAAATTTTATATTTTGATAACTATTAAATCAATACTTACTTGAGAAATGGTACTACTTCGGGACAATTTAGCAACACATGAAGTGTAGCTGACTTGAACTCCATATCACTCAAATTTCTCTTTCTACCATCCTTAGAACATCGGCCTGGTTGATTGAATATGGACATAGGCGGATATAATGGATCATTCGTAAGGTCGACCGTGTGCCTGTTAGGCCTATTCCTAGCACATGGCACGCTGCTCTCAAAATAATAAGAACAAAAATGAGCAGTTTTCTTTGCAAGATAAGCTTGGCATATAGATCCTTCAATTCTATTCCTCTGCTTAACAAATTGTTTGCATTTGCCAATTGTCCTACATAATTTTAGGTTAGCCAAGAACATTCAAATAAAATAGAAAATTATATATGGACTATAATATTACTTTTCAAAGGGATACATCCATCTGCTTTGAACATGCCCTCCAAGTCGTGCCTTGTGTACAAGGTGGATTGGAAGGTGTTCCATCACATCAAAAAACCCACATGGAAATATCTTTTCCATCTTACCCGAAGTTATACGAATGTTCTGATCCATCCGGCGTAGGTTTTCTTCCCTTAATGTGGAAGAACACAAGTCTTTGAAAAACAAACTAATCTCAGTGAAGTGTTTCCAGATTCTTTCAGGCAAACCAAAAAAACACAATAGGCACTAAGGTCTCCATGAAAATATGACAGTCATGACTTTTCAAATGGCTCAACTTCCCTACCTCCATATCAACTTTTTTCTCAAAATTTGACGCATAACCCTCAGGCATCTTCAATTTCGTTACCCAATCACAAATCTGTCGTCTTTCCTCCAAAGTGAATGTGTAACTTGCTCTGGGCTTGAATAACTTACCATTGTTTGTTGTATGCAAGTGTAATTCAGGTCGCCTGCAATATTCTTGTAAGTCCATTCTAGCCTTCGGGTTATCCTTTGCCTTACCTTTAACATCCATCACTGTGTTGAACAAATTGTCAAAATAATTCTTCTCAATATGCATGACATCAAGGTTGTGATGGAGAAGATTATCCTTCCAATAAGGCAACTC